GGAGGTGTTAGAACTATTGACACTAAAATTTAGGAAACTTCATAAAAGAGAACAAAACAGAAACTAAAGCTGACAAAAAATGAAAAATAAGCAATTCATTAATTTAGTCAGATTGCCAAAAACTCTGCTGATAATAACTCTGGAAAATCTGCCACCAAAACTAAGACTCCTTTATTTCTGTACAAAGCAACACACAATTCCTCTAAAAATCACAATAATTTAAAGAAGGTGAGGAATGAATGGGCCTACTTCCACAAAAAGTAAAAAACTGTGTAGTTGGGATAAGTCTACAACACATAAAATAGAAGTATAATAGGAATTATGGAGTGATTTTTTTTCCCCAAATGACAGTCACTTACATATATACGTGTTTTTTAAAATAAGCCTTACTTAGGTCTTCTAAAGATGTTTCCATACTGGCAGCAGGCAAGCCCAACTGTTGGTGTATATACAATTGGCATTAGATTTTCAATGTCATCTTGCAGTATTCTATAAAATAACTTCTCATTTCTCTCCTGTATTCCCATTATATAGATGTATCTGAAATAAAGCACAGTGAACAATATCAAAGTCAACCTGTATGTCAACATTCAAAATTTTGGCTTTTGAAAGTTAAACCTAAAGACCTAAAACTGAGCCCCTCCCCAAAACCCCAAAGGAAAACAAAACCCTAAATTATCACAATATTATCATCAGGACTAAAAAATTAATAAAAATAAACAAGACCCTTGACACTATGGCCCCCAGTTACCCTTCAGGTCTGGAACCAAACTCAGTCCTATGGCTTCCAGCCAAACAAACGACAGATGTATGTGGTGAACATTTACATAGGTAGATAGACTCCTTGGAGCAATCAATCGTGGGAGAACAGAAGGGTACTGCTTGCACAGGAAGACGGCTGGGGGGGGTGTGCATGGGAGAGAAGGAGACAGAGAAGAGGTAACTGCAAGGAGGAAGTAGGAAGAAAAAGAGAAAAAAATATATATATGTACTTTAATAGTAGATGAGGAGGAGGAGGAGGATGAAGATGATGGTGATGAAGAAGAAAATAACAGAACCAATAGTTAATATTTGTGGAAGGTACTGGAAATGCAAAGATGAACACGAGGCCCCTGCCCTAAAGGAAGTAATCTTATAAAAGGAGACAGCCATGTAATTAAGGCAG